CTCGCGCTGTCTCGTTTTCATGGCGCGTTGAAAAATGTACATCCACGACTCGAATAATACATAATAATTTAATGTGCGGGTCTTTTAGAGCCGACGGAATATGCATCAGTATTGTAAGGACACGCATAACGACGCCATTCCGTCATATCGCGCGACACCCACGATTTACATATTCGAATATAAAAAACTGGATGCGACAATAATTATTGCCGATTTTACGCAACGATTTTATGGAAGATCTCTGTCTTCGGAACAACGCGGAAAATGACGAGAATAAACAATTAGACTAAACTGTCATCATCGAAATACGCTCTATATTTGGCACAAAAACTTTGATATAGAAAGGATGTCAATCAGCCGCTGAGTACACTGAAAAAAAATCTTTAAATAGTACCGTAAGTAAATATTTACTTACAGTAAATAAATATTCACTTTAATGATATTCAAGCATTTCGTATCAAGCTGTTTGTCGGCTCAATTCAACTTTTTCTTTTTTTTATCGATACAGCTCAATATTCTTACTTTATGCGCAGGCGCAATCAATTTTATCGCAATTATTAAATTATTAATATGTATATATATATTTATATGTATGTATATTAGACTGCCAAGGAAAAAAAAATTTTTTTTTTAATCGGTCACAGCTCAAAAGCTTCCATTTCATACCAAGGAACATCCCTAAATTTTTATCAAAAGATATTAAGATCTGGGCCGGTATTCATAGTCGGATCTTATATTTAAAACCGTCTTAAGTACAGTCTTAAGATGTCATGAACCAATCAGAAGGCCGCATTAGCGACTTAAGACATTACTTAAGACGGTCTTAAAATAAGAACCGACTATGAATACCGGCCTTAGAGATCTCTAGTGAACGATTTTTACATCAAAGTTTCGATTTTTCTTAATATATGTTTAATTTTATGCAAAAATAGCTTAATCCGGATTTCAAGTGTGGTACTGTATGTTTTTTTAATCGCTGAACACGATGTAATAGTTAATTTAACCCTACGTATCGTATAAAAAAACATACAGTACCACACTTGAAATCCGGATTAAGCCATTTTTGTATCAAATTAAACATGTATTAAGGAAAGCCGAAACTTTGATTTAAAAATTGTACTAGCGACCTCTAAATCTTAATATTTTTTGATAAAAATTTAACGACGTTCTTTTGGCATGAAATGGAAGCTTTTGAGCTAAGTGGCCGATTAAAAAAAAA